GACTAGTAGGACGCAGTGGACGAAGCTACAGACTGTACAGAACACCGTACTCAGGACAGCGACAGGATGCCTCCTGATGTCGCCTGAACACCATCTACACGGCGAGGCGCAAACAGACAGCTGCTTGTAGAGGAGCCTTCGCCTAGGCACGTTAGGAGGCATCTATATGAACTGATGGACGAAGTCCAGAGGTTCATCAAGCAACCTCTTGACCCGTCAGCTTACCGACTGACCCTGAACGGCATTCACAGGGGGTCAGTCTTGAGTTATGTAGACTCTAGACCTGTGAATGCCGTTCTAGGCATACCGCCCCCGGACATAGACGAGACGGAGCTTCATCTGCCTCGGGAGACACGAACGACACTAGCCCAACTTCGCTCCGGCTACTGCAGCAGGTTAAACTCCTACCTGAGTAAATTGAATGAGGAGCCGCTACAACAACAACAACAACAACAACAACTAAATGGTTGTCAATAATATGAAATAAAAACATAACATGGGCTTGAATCTCGGGAGTCAAACCACTTGAGGAACATTTTTCCAAAGATTCAAGGCACGTTTTTAGTTAACGGGCGTACAGTTTCAACCCTGATCCACTATCTGGTAACGGAAATTCTACGGAGGGAAAGGTTTGACATTTTCACCAGTATTTTCCATCTCATTGGACTGAGAGTAACCTTTTTGTAAAATTGTTCAATGTTTCCATAAAAGCATTTCACCTCAATATAGCGTATATATGTACGAACGTGTAGCCTTGAAAGGGACACTTAATTCTCAACGCTTTTTGCCAGAACCGGGCAAACAAAAGTACTTTCAAAAGCACGCGCGCAGTTCCCCGAAATCGGGGCCCGGGGCGAATTGACCCTGTCCCCCCTCTGAGTGCCACTGATTTATCGTAATATGTAACTATCAAACAACTGCTTAAAAATGCCGCACAGCCGAAGACCGCACTTTCCTTGTTTTTTTTTTTTAATTTGGCTCTATATTGAAAAACCTTTTTAATGTCTGGTCAACAAAAATAATTTCTGACGAAAATAATTACATTCATTATTTTACTAGATTTTTTACCTAATTACCACCACCCCCCAAAATCTTTAGAGTTAGACTAATTCAAAAAAAAAAATCTATATACAAAAAAATTTTTTTAAATGCCCACTTAAATACCACCGGGGGGATGTCAAAAGATGCCTGTTAAAGGCGCAACCCTTAATATTAAGTTTAAAAGTTCGCGCATCGCTCTACTAAAAACGTTCGACATAATTTTTTGATAAACCTACTGGTTTAACGGTTATTCAAACTTCAAGTTAAATTTATGTTATTATTAGAGTTTTTTCTAATAACAGGTACAATAATTAAAATTATTTTCAACTATCCAAAAAATAAGTCATTAAAAAATTTAAATTGTAAAGTTTACTAAGTCCTGCAAATTAATTTTATTAAAAAACCCCCCATTTCGGGGACAATTTTAATTAAAATCCTTTCTATTGTGTTGAGTTATGTTCGAAAGTTTTTTCATTAAAAATGATTGGAATAACTTTTTTCAAGAGGGCATTACAATTTGCAGGATTTTTGTAAAAAGTTTGCAATATTTAATGATAATTTTAATTATTTTACCTAAAATAGGAGAAAAAACTATAATAATGACTAAATTTAATTCTTTTTTATAGAGCATCTAATTCCCTACAAAAATATGTATCGCACTTTTCATTTATTACGAGAATTCAAAGACGAGAAAACAAATTCCAACGTTGAAAACATTTTTTTTTTCTAAGTAATTTATATGAAAAATAAAAATCCGCGAGGCTCAACATTTTAAACTTAAACTTAATATTTAAGGGTTACGATTTTAACAGGCATCTTTTGACATCCCCCGGAGGTATTGAAGAGGGGATTTAAAAAAAAAACATTAGTCGATTTTTTTTTTTGAATCAGTCTAATGTACATATGTACCACAAAATATGCATATGTATATGTAGATATGACTACTCGCATATGAAATTGCACCAATATTGCGCTCAGTGTTAAGGTACTATTAAAAAGCTCAGTGTTC